TTCTTCTAGCATCTAACCGTTATTTATATTATCGTTAGATAAACTTAGTACTATAAAGGTTTTAGGTTCCTTACTATCTATAACGTTAGTTATAGCTATATCTTTAAGGATATTATAGCTATATATTTAGACTAGCTAGGCTTATTCTTTTCTTTTTATATTATAGCTTATAAACTTATTAAACTATATATTAGCTAATACTATTAGTTTATCTTATCTAATTAATAGTATCTATATAACGTATTATTAAGTAGACTTATAGCCTACTAAGTCTTTAATATAAGCTCTCTACTTAAGGGGCAACTATATCTTATATAATTTAATATATTCTAATACTATAATTATTATTAAGAACGCTTTATAGCTAAAGACCCTTAAATATATAATATCTAGTTTAATATTTTTAATATAGTAATATAGTAGATTATTTTCTTTTAGCTAGGTCTATTAACGCTTATATAGGCTTAACTAGCTATAATTATATAATTCGAAAGGTATTATATTAATTAGGTATACCGCTATATAGTATATCTCTAGCTATAGCTCTTTTAAAAGCTTTAAGTTAAGCTTTATAACCCTTACTTTTTCCTTTATTATTACTCTTAATCTCTTTATAAAACTATTTTATATAGGTATTAAAGAGGCTAACTATATAACTTATATCTTTTTATTAGTTATATAATCCCTTTATTTACCCTTATAATATAGTAGTTATATACCTAGGAAGCTTACTAGCTATAATACTAAAGTTAGTTTAAATCTAGCTAAGGGCATAATTAATTTTTAGTTAGACTAGTAGACTATACTTAACTATATATTAATTAGCTAATTAGTGCTTTTAAAAGCGCTTATAAATATACTAGTAGTCTAGCCCTACTATAAGTAAGCCGGCTTAGACCTCGCCTACCTAGACCTAGTAACGAATTTATTAAGACCTCCCCTTAACCCTAGTCTAGGCCCCCCGACTAGGAAAATAAAAACCTAGGGCCGATACTAGTAACTTAATAAGTATAGCGCGAAGCTAGTATAATAACCTAACTACCGGCCTAGCTAAAGGCTAGTATTAATAAAAAATAGCCCGCTAAGCCTTATAGCAGAAAAATAAGGTAGAGCCTAGGAAGATATTATTATAAGATAAGGTTAGAGATAATTATATAATTAACTATTAACTAAAAAACGCTTATACTACCGATTAACGCTATATACCTTATATATATAAAGGAGTTACTTTCTAAGGTTACTTTATAGCGGGGCTAATATAATTCTAACTAACTATAACGATACTTAAGATAGCTAGTATAAGATTCCTATATATTATAACTACTACCTAGTATAAGGGCGGACTAGCTATAAAAAAGGGGAGGGTTTTCCTTAAAGTACTTTAGTTTTTCCTTCTTATTTAACGCTAAAGTTCTAGATACCTTTAGATAGGTTACTAGTATAATCTTAATAATAATAATAATAATAATCCCTTTATTTTATTATTAAAAGAGCCCTTTTCTTATTAATAATTAATATAGTTATTTTAACTTTATACTAAGTTATAAGTACCGCTATAAAGTTATTAAAGATATCCCTAATATCTATTTTTCTTTCTATTAAGTAATAGAACCTTATAAATATATCTATATATTATTATTATTAAGATTATACTAGTTACCTATTTAAAGGTATCTAGAACTTTAGCGTTAAATAAGAAGGAAAAACTAAAGTATTTAGAGGAAAACCCTTTATTCTTTTATAGCTAGTCCGCCCTTATACTAAGTCGCGGTTATAATATATAGGAATCTTATACTAGCTATCTTAGGTATTATTATAGTTAGTCGGAATTATATTAGCCCTACTATAAAGTAACCTTAGAAAGTAACTCCTTTATATATATAGGGTATATAGTATTAATTAGTAGTATAAGCGTTTTTAGTTAATAGTTAATTATATAATTATCTTTAACCTTATCTTATAATAATATCTTCCTAAGCTTTACTTTATTTTTCTACTATAAGGCTTAGTAGGCTATTTTTTATTAATACTAGCCTTTAGCTAAGCTAGTAGTTAAGTTATTATACTAGCTTTACGCTATACTTATTAAGTTACTAGTATCGGCCCTAGGTTTTTATTTTTTTTTAGTTAGGGGGCCTAGACTAAGGTTAAGGGGAGGTCCTAACGAATTTATTACTAGGTCTAAGTAAGCGAGGTCTAGGTCGGTCTACTTATAGTAGGGCTAGACTACTAGTATATTTATAAGCGCTTTTAAAAGCGCTAATTAGCTAATTAATAAGTAGGTTAATAAGGTTTATTAGTCTAACTAAAAAATAATTATACCCTTAGCTAGATTTAAACTAACTCTAGCGTTATAGCTAGTAAGCCTCCTAGGTATATAACTACTATACTACGAGGGTAATATATCTATATAGGTAAATAGGGCGAAGTTCTTTTCCTTATTATATACTATTATAGGGCTAAGGTAAAGGTCGAAGCTAATTTATACCCTTAAACTTTTAGGCTTTAAGGATAGTATTTTTCTCTAGACTTCCCTCTTAGCTTTCCTTATTATATATATCTAATATCTATATATTATAGGGCCTTAAAGCTTAGTGCTTAGGTAGGCTTTTAATAGCTTCTTTAGTAATCTTAGACTAAGATACCTAAGGCGGCGATACTATAAGTTACCTACCCCCTTAGTTAGCGGCTTAGGCGCTTATATAACTATAAATACCCGCTTACGCTATAGGAGTATTCCTATTATAAATTAACTTTTAAAGTCGGTTAGTTTAATATAAACCTCTTTTATAGGTTTTAAATAAAGGTATCCTAGGAGCTACTTCTAAAATATCCCTACTATTATCCCTAGCTTAGCTAAGAAGATACTTATTAGTATTTCTAAGATAAAGTAAGTATCTAGTAAAGTTATCTTTCTACTATTAATTATAGGGATAACTACTATTCCTATTCCTTATACTTTAAAGGCTTAGTCTTTAACCTAGACTTTATTATTAGAACCCTATTTAAAGGTTTATTCCTAGAACTAACCTAGGTTATTAAAGAGGTTAATATAGCCCCTAAGTTATATATTAATTTATTAGTAAATAACGGCGTTCCCTTAATAGCTATATTTACCCTAGATAAAGTAACCGTATTAATAGTCTTTCCTAGCCTATTATTACTAATAATAGTATTTACTAGTTCTCTTCCTTTAAGGTAGGAATTAAGGGTCTAGGCTATATACTTTACTTTCTTATTTAGATAGTCCTTTAGCTGTTTTTCGATATTCTATTTAGCTAGATTACTATATTTCTAGCCTAATAAGGGCTTCTTATTATATATTACCTATAGTAAGTTATAATTTTCCTACTAGCTTAATAAGCTATTATCGTACTACTTATAGCTAGCGCATTTAGCTTAGGTGTCTAATTTCCTAGAGATTTAATTAGCGCTTCCCCTTTTTATAGGTAGTTATAACTTCTTCCTATAAGTATATTTATATTTAAAGTTAGCGATTAGGTTCCTTAAGGGAAGTTAATCTTTACTATATCTTTTATTATAGAAGTTAGGAGCCCTTATTATTATAGACTAATATAGGTCCTACTTATCTACCGCTATAAGAAAGTCCTATCTAATTCTTATATCGTTAAGTATATTAACCTTAAGGTCTCGTAAATCTATAATAATTTAGTCGAGCTATTCTACTTATGCTTTCTAGTCTTATATACCTCTTTTATTAATAGAGGTCGTATATCTCTTATAAATTAGCTTTTTCTCCTCTGCCCTTAAGGGCATAGCTTACTTCCTTAGTTCCTTAATTTTCTCTCTTAAGCTATTATATATTAGGGTTGCCCCTTAAAGCCCTTTATTAATCTTTTTCTTAATTAATTCTTTAAGTGCGATTAGGGCTTTCTACTAGACCTTATAGTAATCGAATTATAGCTAGAACGTTTTCTTAAGGTTACGAAAGGAGTCCTTTATATCCTAGTATCGTTCGTTATAGCCTATTCGCCTTGTAAGGAACGTAGCCTCGGTTTTATCTTCTCGTTAAGAAGGTCTCCCTCTAAGGTTAATAATAAATTGCTCCTAGTCTAGCTATTAGGGCTATTTAAGCTCCTTTACACTATCTAGGTTAGTATATTCTTAAATCTTATAAGTCTAGGCCTACGATTTAATCCCCTTAATCTATAGGGTCTAATCGAGGCTTTCCTTTAATCTTACGATATAATTATTCCCTCTTACTTCCTTTAACGTTATCTTAGGAAAATTAGGGGTTCTAGCTTAATAAGTAATATCCTTCTTTAAGGGATATATAATTCGTATGTTTCTAGTAGTGCCCCTTAGTATAGCTAGGTTCCTTGCCTTAACACTACGATTTAAGCGTTATAACGGCGTTAATAGCTCGTAAATAGCTTTAAAGGTAATATCGGCGGGCAAAAGATAATCTAGCCGTATAGGCCGGGCTTATAACTCTTAAGCAGTGGCTTAAGAGCATAGTAGGAGAAATAGGGGCATAGAAAGGTAAATTTAGTAATATATATCTTAGTCTATCTATTAAGATAAGGGAGGGGCTTATATAAGTATAGTAACTATATATAGCTAGCTAAAAGAGGGCATTAAGATATTCCTATACCTAAGTTAGGCCTATATAATATCCTTTAGCTAGGGGAGTTATATTAGTTAAGCAGGCTTCCTTATATATAACTATTAGGTCTATTAAGGATAACTATAGCCTCTTATGCCTACTCTCCTTAATAAGAGGATTAACTATATATAGATATTAGTATTATTAAATATACCTTTACTTAGCGTAATTTCATAGCGATCTAATTAGATTTACTATACGTATTAGTTAATAACTTAAATTTAATATAACGAATGTGCTTAGTAGACTAAATTGATTAACTTAGAACCTCGCCTAACTATAAGTTCTTCTAAGCTAGCTAACGCAAATAGTCGTTAACAAACTATATCGCCTAAGACTCTTCTTCGCGAACTCCCTTGATTCCTTATCGGTATTAAGAGGCCGTATGCACGGAGCGGCGATAACCACCAGGAGCGTCATAGTCGTCGTCCCCGTTGGCCGCTTCCACAGAGCGGCGATAGCCACCGGGGGCGTCGTAGTCGTCGTCATCGTTGGCTGCTTCAACGGAGCGGCGATAGCCCCCAGGAGCGTCGTAGTCGTCGTCATCGTTGGCTGCTTCAACGGAGCGGCGATAGCCCCCAGGAGCGTCGTAGTCGTCGTCCCCGTTGGTCGCTTCTACGGAGCGGCGATAGCCACCGGGAGCGTCGTAGTCATCATCATCATCGGCCGCTTTTATAGAGCGGCGGTAGCCACCGGGTGCGTCGTAGTCGTCGTCATCGTTGGTCGCTTCTACGGAGCGGCGATAGCCCCCAGGTGCGTCGTAGTCATCGTCATCATTGGCTGCTTCAATGGAGCGGCGATAGCCCCCAGGAGCGTCGTAGTCGTCGTCCCCGTTGGTCGCTTCTACGGAGCGGCGATAGCCACCGGGAGCGTCGTAGTCATCATCATCATCGGCCGCTTTTATAGAGCGACGATAGCCCCCAGGAGCGTCGTAGTCGTCGTCATCGTTGGCCGCTTTTATAGAGCGGCGATAGCCCCCAGGTGCGTCGTAGTCATCGTCATCGTTGGCTGCTTCAACGGAGCGGCGATAGCCCCCAGGAGCGTCGTAGTCATCGTCATCATTGGCTGCTTCAATGGAGCGGCGATAGCCCCCAGGAGCGTCGTAGTCGTCGTCCCCGTTGGTCGCTTCCACGGAGCGGCGGTAGTCGGTGTCGGACTCCATATCCCTCCGGCTAACTTCCTGGGTGGGAGCGGCAAAAATACCAGTGACGAGGCACATGGCCACCAAAGCTCCGGTGCTATACTTCATCGTGCTAGGTTGGATTTTGATTGATTTAAATGTAATTGGTAAAACGTAAGGAGCTTAAAGTCCTATGTTTTTAAGAATTAGAGCAAGCGGTTTCTTAAAGTCAGAATCCAATCCTTAAGCTGTTTTGATTGATAGGTAGTGAGAGAAAGATATATTGGAAGCGGCTGATGCTCATTCTTTATACTTAGAGAATACTATGCGCTCTCCTAGCGCAAGCAAGCGTTTAACTTAGCATAGAAGTCATGTAAAGGGCCTAGACATCTAGCTCCGACAATTTTAGCTATAGCGTCTATAGTAGGGAGAATACTTAAGAAAGGCTAGTAATAAGGCTAGAGGGTATTAAGAATAGTCCAATTATATTAAACACGCTTATCAGCGAATAAAGAGAAGATTGACATTATTTGGAATGCCGAGGCGAGGAGGCTAATACGTAATAAGGAGATAAACGTCCGTAGAAGTAAGAGTCTTAATCAGCGGGCTATTTAAAAGGGCTAAGGCGGAGCCTAACCCTAAGTAACATATATTAAGGAATGTAAGTATCAGCTAAAAAGGAATGTGATATTAGCTGAAAAGGAATGTGATATTAGCTGAAATCTGCTTCCTTAGCAGCAGGACGCTAATAACTGTGCCAGTCAGCTATAAACAGCATTCTAATTTATAAGCAGTTAACATATCCCTTCGCCTGTTATAAGACCTATGGGATGTCGCGGCCCCATAGTATGTAGCTATAACGTAGTAATGAGCCACTCTTAAACGGGTTTGAGAGCATAAATTTATAGAATGATAAGGGGTTTATACTAAAGTGGAATAACGATGAATTCTCTCTAACGGGCCAGGCAGCCTTAAGGGGTCTTGATATGTATAGTTACCTCTATATAATCCTCTTTGATCGGCTTTGTTAGCATGGGCCAGATAAATTCGATGTCTTAATACGGCATTATTCTCTGGCCCTGATTGCATTAAGTTATACGCATCCGGTGGTGCATCTTATGCGGGCCCCTCTGGCCGACTGCCACATAGGCTAGCATTAGGAAATCTTACGCAGCTAGTTTTCTACTGCAACACTTTACGCAATTCCTAATGGAGCCGTAATAAGACCCACTGCCGTCAACGCATTCCTAGGAGACGCTGACAACTACTAAGGAGTCGGCCGCTGCAGTAACAAAGCAAGGGCTGCGGTATCTTTAAGAATACAGCGATATATATAAGCCGGGCACACGCTTATAACTGGCCTATTCATAGGCTGCTTGCCGCACGCTAGCATCCAACGATGAGAAGGCTAACAACGACGAGGCTGACGATAACAAGGCTAGCCTATTAGCCGGCTCGTCATAACACTAGCCGATCGACCTAACATAAGAAGGATCTACGTTACGATGCCCTCGCAAAAGCCCTCTCAAGAGCCTACTCAAGATAAGATCTACATTTCAATGCCCTTATATAATGCAGAGGATAAGTAAGCAGTCATAGCCACCTAATAGGATAACGTCGAGGCAGAAGTCTAAGAGGAAGGAGCACAGCGAGATTTATATAGGGAGGGATTATATTAAAGACATAATCGTCACAACGCCACTAGGGGCGCCTAATACGAGTTATACTCTTCACTAAACGTTGCAATAACCCTACTTTTGCCTTGGTGTAGGCGGCGCTTATTGCAGTGCGTGGCGTAGGCGCAGGGAATACACGCACTAAAATGTGCGGTAGTTGTCGGCGCTGCGCCTTGACTAGCCACACTAGCCTACTTGTTGCTTGGCCGAATAGTCAGAGTGGTAGGCTGGGTAGTCAGGGCCTTTGTCAATCGTGCGCCGCCACGGGAATGCGCCTTGTGTCTAAGTATTTGCATTGATCTCCGCACCATGCCTCCTTGCCCGTATGGAATGTGAAGCAGAATGCATGGTCTTGTTGATGTTGTCTAGCAGCAGAAAGCTGCGTCTCGAATAAATCTAGCTAGCTGGCAGGGGTTCACATGGCTATTGAGCCTTTCAGAGTCAACTCGTGTCCTCCAACATGCCTTCTTCGCGTTCATTTCAATAGTTGTGACCTTTTGCCATGATCAGGTATGAACCCACCACGGCTTATACCGTTGATTTAATAGTACCTAGCAGGAGATGCGTCCATCACCTTGCTGGCTGTGCAGCCGCGAGCGGGTCGCCATTGTGACGTCGTCGGATAGTTCGGCGATCATGTCATGGCAAATAAATACGACTCACAATCCATATTTTTTCCAAAGACCGGGGAAGGCAACGGGCTTTCGTCTCACATGTTCGAATATAAGCGGGCTGCTCAGGTGAATGGCGTAGATATTACTACTTGCATCAACGCCACCTTGGCTAAGCGAATCTAAAACATGCACAGAAGCCAAATCTCACGGAAAACCAGGAAATATGTTACATCCTGGGCGGAAGGGTCACATTGGCAGGGCAAATTTAAGCGCGCAAGTTCAGCCGTGAACTCTTACATAGTCCCTCAACCATAGAAGGCGCCTCTCCAGTGCGAACATCTCCATGAATGCGATCAATGACCTTGACCATAGCTCGAGCGAGCCACCAGACAGACACAAGCATTCTAGACTATATTGATAAGCATATAAAGAAGGTCAATATCGCACTGCTATACGGGCACACCAAACGTCTATAATAACTTATCTAGAGAGAAAGCAAGCATGCTAGCGCAACTAAGAATAGAAATTATAAGATTGAATAGATATCTACATAACATTAGAGCAGCGGCATTATAGCAATACATATACAAATACCCGCTGGAGCTAGTTATATACTTTCTATTTTAGTGCAGGCAATAGGCAGCTTATCGACATAGAATGATAAAGTGCATAGAGAAATGGCATAAGGACGTTTCGTTCTACTTGGCGGGAAATCGCCTTTGGATAACACGAAATAGGCGCCTAATATACGGACGTAGAGGCCGAATGGACCATATGTAACATACCCTCTACGTTGTACTAGCTAGTGCTTCCTAGGCAGGACAAGCGAAGTAATCCGCGATTGTTTATTTAGTTGTATTTTTAGTCCTCTCTAAGACTATAGCGACACCGCGCACCACTAGGTTTCGAATAGGGGACTCTTAGGCTAGGTAAATATCAATATGGACCGATGCCGGGCCGGGGCAGCAGAAGTCCCGGGCTTATAACTGTTATACTGTCCAGATAAGCAAGAGTCGAAAGCGCTCCGACGGGCGCTGTGCAACTGGACGTTATGGCCGAATAGACTGTGTGACAAGGTGTTAGGGCCTGTGGCCATTATGGACTATTGGAACTTGGACTGCGGTCCAAGTTATTGTTTGGGATTACGCGCGGAGGGCTCAATCCCGTATCTACAGGCGCAGGCCCGCCGCATACGAAGGAGCTCTCTATAGCTTGTTGACATCATGCTACGGACGGCATCTGTGCCCACGCCTCTGCCTACTGCGTGACAATAAGCGAATAAGTCGATTTATATCTATCTGTAGTAGTGACTGTAATAAATAGAGCCCTTAAGTAAGTGCTGGTCCTTAATCCGTATAACCGAGTTTGTTGATGCGACGCTCGCACTGACGATAGACGTCAGTATGGGAAAGTTGATCGAGTGAACCTTCTGTTCTTTACATACCGTTCCCCGACCTCCGTGTCCTTGAGGCTTACAAGTAAGGTCAAGGCAGCACTTCTTGCCCTTATAGCCTGCGACCATGCAAGGGTCATGCAAGTGAGAACACTTGGTAGCATTCGGTTAATATCTAGTAAAAGAACGTTAAATGAAAGTCTTACCTTGATCTCTTTATCAAAGCACTATGGCTGAATCAGCATGTTTCTCTATATAAGATAACCGCCCTTGCGTAAAGATGAAATTACCTCTTTATTATAACAGTAAAATCCTTTGCAGCAACTATGGCCCGAAGTTTGGCATGGGCCCAGAGTTCGCGAGCACTTATGTTGACTATATTCTGACGGAGATTGATCATTGTCGGCTGGAGAGTTGCCATCGGCAATTGCAATCGTCGCAGCGACTGCGAAAATCAAAGATGTGAACAGCTTCATAGTGATGGACTGATAGATGGTGAACTTGAGGAAGGAGTCGATAACCGGTGTAAGACTAGCGTGAGAGGTCAGTGCTCGATAAGTGATGGAGAGGAGCTGCTATTCGTCATTAAATCCGAAGATGTTCTGCAGCTTTTATAGGTAAATGGGTTGCCTATAGCATTGTCTCACACTTCCTTCTTACTTTATTAATCGAGGTAGGGCGGATATGGAGCAGATGCCTAGATGCTAGCAACGTTCTAGTACATTCCGCTAGAAATTTCTGCTTAAACAGACTATGTCGGTAGTACGGGTGTGAGTCGCAACCGTATGGGGCATAAATGTAGCTGAGGCAGTCCTATATGGAACTAGCGCGATCATTTCTAGAAGGACTGTACGCGATGCTAGGATAGGTTTAGGAAGAAAATTGCCGGGTATAAGCTACCCGCCTAGGTTCTAGATGATATTAGTGCCGCGTTCCGTATTAATAGCGAAGTTGCGGAATGCGAATTAGCAGATGGTAGACTGTTATCGTCTAAACCCGTAGACTAAATTTGGAATGCTAGGAATAACGTCCCGCGCTAATACGAAGGTGTAGAGTATAAATAAGTAGGTAGTAGACTATTATCGCCTAAAACTCTACAGAGTAGACTAAGTTAGGAATTCTAGGAATAACTTATTACGTCTTAGTATAATTAATCCTTATATACGCTTAGAACCGTCACATTAGTCGCTACGCATGCAACTAATAGTCTATTTAGTTATCTACGATATAATGATATAACGGTTCGTACGTAATTTGACGGGGACGAGGGCACACACCCAAAGCACGCGCAGGACACGGCTAAGGGTAAATATAATAATTAACGTCTTCACAGATCTAAGGATCATCTGATCATCAATAGCGCATGCGACTTCCTGAGTCTCGCACTCGTAGATGCAAAAACCTTGATACTTTGCGGCCCCAGACTGCCAAGTCTTGTCAGGGGTGGTGTCTACACGGGGTATGATCTTGCCTGTCAAAATAACTGAGGAGCACATATTTCAAAAGCTATTCCACTTAATTAAGACATTAGATATACTTATACATTCCACCCCTAGTCTACTGTCATCCCCTCTAACGTCTTTAGACCACTCTCTAAGTCAAGTTCCTACGAATGGTGCAACGACCCGCCGTACCTAGCTCATATTTCGAGAGACATTTAGTTCCATCTAGGCGCGCCGTCGAAGCGATCCTGTAGGAATTGGTTGCGCTCAGCCGAGTGGCAGGAATAGCTCAGACAGCATTCGTCGATAATGCTTTCGTGATCCCTTATGGAATCCTTAATTTTCTTAATTAGCACGGATAACCCGATTTCGCATTAGATACCTCCCTGGAGGCCGGCTGGTCGGCACTAATCTAGAACGTAAACTCTACGAGCGTCCACCTTGAGGACTTACAGGCTTGACACATTAACCCCAGCAGGAAGGATGTTTAACGGGCCTTAGCGGTAATTAGTAGAGAACGTCGCCTCATGATATGAGCCTAGAAACTTCATATAGCAACATGCCTACGAGTTTTAAGTCTAAGAGCTACCGCCTTTACCTATTATATTTTATTAGTTCCTAGGGTTTTATCAGACTTTAATATGAAGGTTGCAACTAAAAGAAATGTCTCTCGCCAGTGTCACGGGCATCCCCGGCCACCGTGTATGCTAGGCTTCACAAAAATTTATACTGTTCCGGCTGACCCTGTATAAGCAGCTTTATCGGCAATCTCATGGAGTAAAAAGACCCATGGAGCCAGCAATTCTGCCAAAACTGGCCTATTAAGCATAAAATGAAGTAAAGTAGGCTAAAAAGCCGAACTGACCACTTAATAGCGTGTCTTGGGCCGAACTGGATCAGTTAAGCTGCAAAGTCTTAGGATTTTAGAGTTCTCTGCCATACGGTACTATGAGGGGCAAGTGACCCTGGGCAAGAAACATTTCTTTTAGGCGCAACCAACGTATAGTAACCTAGGAAAGCGCTAGTAAATATTTGACTACCTAAGAATAAGGTATTAGTTAAGAGGCTAGATTGAGTAACTATATTATAGATGATTTAGTAAAAATAATACTATTTGTACTCACGAATATATATGTCTCCATTTATACTAACGCAGATACTTGCCCGCGCTAGCCCGCGCTACTAACTTGTAGCGCGCGAGCCTGGCTAGTCTTTATACTGCTTAATTGCCCGGCCCTACGCATGAAATTTAATGTTGTCCCCATCACTGCGAGGGACCCCCCTGACGCGCCTATGATTACGACTTTGCTAGGCGTTGAGGCCGACCATAGCCTACAGGCGCTCGCGTAGTTACGCAGAGGGCCGAGTGATTGAAACTTCGGGCCTAGGGCTCAAAGATGCGTTGATTGAATGAATTAAGAAGCACACGTGCGATGCAATTGATGCGTGTAGGCGGGCATTTGAGCGGTACCGATACCTGCCAGGCTCGCGCGCTACAAGTCGATGGGGGGGCTGGGGCGGATACGTATCTGCGTGAGAACAGATAGAGATGCGTGTGAGTACGAATAGTATTACTCAAACTAAATATCTCTCGACCTATAAGCTACGGCGGGTCGTTGCACCATTCGTAGGAACTTGACTTAGAGAGTGGTCTAAGGATGCTATCAGAAATGTTCGATGTGCACCCTGAGCAAATGCCAGGAATCGGAGGCCGACCCCATATTCCCGATGTGACTCAAGCAGTTGTCGTCAGCATGTCTTCGACCCGTTCAACCAGCTACTTGGGCTCTCGGCAAGGTAGAGGCTGTTATCCACCCGCAGCCTCACTGAGCAATGTCCCTTGTATCGTTACTTGAGAAGCCAATGGGGAAACAAGCCCAACACACATAGGTTCACTCGAATATATATATATATACATTGGATGAGTGCCCATAAAGACGCAAAACAGCAAGCCTTATCTCGGCGACTATAATCAAGATGCTGTCCCGACTCATCACTTCGTCGTTGGTCCTGGGGCTGCTCTCTTCAGTCGTCACCGCGAACTTCTACCCAATTACGGGCGTCAAGGTCCAAGGCCAGAATACACCTCCACGACGGAATATCAATGAGCTACATGCAGAGGCTGGTCCCCAATGGTGCAGAACCACCCAAGCCCGCTTTTGCACACAGCACGTCGTCTAACTCTTCTCAAGGGATTTGTACATCCAGGCCATTGCGGCCATGCAATCCGCTAAGTCTACAGATCCATTGTCTTGGTTCCAGCTTTGCAGTATGATTCTCTCCAGGCCAGTGCATTTGTCAAGTTGACTAACCCACCTGTGATCAGGTATTCATGGAAGTCCGCCGATCGCTTGGAACAACACCGCAGCTGGAGACAGCAGCCATCCGGGATATTGCGCTCACGCTGTACGCATCTGCCTCAAGGGATCTTAATAAGAAAACAAAACTGACCTTGATATAATAGGAAGCCTTGTTCTTGCCATGGCATCGGCCATATATCGCCACCTTTGAGGTAATTGGCCCCGATTCGCCTATAACGTCTCAATCTCGGCTCACCATTGTAACAGCAATCGTTGGTCAATCATGCCAAGGAGATAGCTCGGCGGTATCCAACCAAGGATCGAGCGCGCTACGTGCACGCCGCGGAGATCCTTAGAACGCCGTTCTGGGACTGGGCCGCGAACCCTCAAGTGCCCAAATCGACTGTTCCCAGCACTTTGAAAATTAACACCGCTCATGGGCGTCGTTCGGTTAAAAACCCTCTGGCTGGTTATGTATACCCGAAGGATGCGCTGAAAGGCGCTTTCGGCGAGTTTAAGCCCACGCCCCGAAATCGGGTGGGACGCTGCCCACCTCCTAAATCATTTCCCCAGTCGGCCAACCAGCTATTTCGAAGGGATAATCTGAGGGAACTTGTCGTAAGTCCAAGGCCTCGAATATGCTGTCATTGAGAGTCGCAGTATATGCTAAAGCTAGTAGTACAATGCTTTTATTTACTCGGAGACGTTCGAAGAGTTTAGCTCCACTGCTGGACCTGGTACTAGCGTTGAACAAGCACACAATCTGGTCCATAACTCTGCAGGTTGTGGACAGACAATGGGTGATCTCGCATACGCTGCCTACGACCCCCTCTTGTAAGCCTCTACTTTTGTAAAGTAGTTTTGAAGTAAAGCTAACGTTTTAACCAGCTGGCTGCATCATACAAACGTAGATCGACTATACGCTCTATGGCAAGCGGCTCACCCCGATAAGAGCGGTCTCACCACCCCCTATAAAGGAAACGCTCGGTTTACAACGCCAGATCACTCCTTGATTAGTCCCGATTCTCCGTTGACTCCATTTTACCTCCCAGGCGACCGACCACACACTTCAAATACTGTCCATTCCACTTACGACCTTGGATATACATACGAAGGCCTTGAAAAGGACGCAAAGAAAGTGGTCAACCAGAAACGAGACGAGTCCACGCAGGCCACAGAGCGATCCCCCGCTAGGCTTGGATACCAGCAAGACAAATCCAGCCTCAACCCACAGGATCCGCAGATTATCGTTTTACAGGCGACTTACACAATCTACCCGCAACCCACCCATCTGCCGCAGCTACCTGCGGAAGAACATAAACGACGTGCCAGGGGCAAGATCACTAACCTCTACGCTAGCCCGGCTCACAAGAAGAAGAGAACAGTTCATCGGGCCCACGTCAACTATCGTGTCGAGGAACTGCCGGATCGCCCCTGTGTCATTGATGTGTATCTTTGCGGATTCTTCATCGGCGATATCGTCGCTTTGGGCCACCCTCACAAAGGATCTCTTTCTGCAGCCGTGCCTCTAAATGCAGCCATTGAAACCTGCAATAAGCGGGACATTAAGCCTGAAAATTATCACACCAATATCGGCTTTGTTATCACGACGGTAGGTTGATCACCTGTACCACCCCAGCTCAATTTGATTCGCGTCATTCGAGGCTCTCGCGGCTGCAAGGTATCTGACTCGTGGGCATAGGCCAGCGGCAGGAACGTCCCGCTTTCCGAGGTCCCAAGCCTGAAGATGGAACATGAGACTTTGTTGGAAATTCCGGCAGCGAAAGAGGGCGATTTCCCTACAATCCGCCACCGGAAGAAAAAACCCGCTCCCGTGAAGCAGTATAAGCCACCGCAGCCCAAACCACCGCAGCATAGCGCGGAAGAATACATCACGACATACCCGGAACAAACCTCGTCGTACGAAGCGCAGCCCTCGGATAGTTATAGTAGTGATGCACACGAGGAATACACCACGACGTACCCAAAACAGACCGCGTCATACGGAGGCCACCGAGCGCAGCCCTCGGATGGTGGACGACGAGGCCGGTCACAGAGAGGCGGGTATTAAGACTACTGCGTTCGATCATAAATGCTTCGCATCTAGAGACTGGAAGAGGGACACCAGGGGTGTAACATTGAGCCTCCTTCATCATCCATTGTAATTGGAGCGCTTCAGTTAGGCCACTAGTATTCGGAGCAAGACCAAGCATGCAATATGTAGCTTGGTGGCAACTGAGACGGGTTAAGAGCGATGCGACCCATGGAATAGGATCTTGAAAATTCGTAGAATGAATGAATTAGTGTGATTACGAAAAGCATTTCCCAATCATCGCCTATCCTCTATCCTTTATCCAATATTATCCCATCCACTATGCCACGACAGAGGTTAGTACCCTATCTTCTCCTCTACCCTATCTTATATGGCACGACAGAATGAATGAATGAATGAATGAATGAATGAATTCCGCCCGGAGGGACCACGCCTTAAAGAGCCTAGACGCTCAGCTAATTACAGACCGTCAGACCGACTCTCTGCCCAGGGTGGTTTTCCATACATAACTATGGAAGAGTATTACTATTTACACTCACATTTATATCTATTTACTCTTACGCCCTATCTATAAGATCCGTACCAAAGCCTGCCCGCCCCCAACTTGTAGTGCCCGCGCCTGGCAAGTAATAATACCCGTACCTTCCAAATGCCCGCCTGCACACAGCATGCATCCCGCTTAATTTGCTCAAACAGTGCATCTTTGAGGCTCTCGCGAGATATGCGCACAACACATGCGGCCAAGGTTCAATTAATCTGGGCACTCTGGCCCGTACGGCCGCGTGGGCGGGCGCGGCCACTTAATTGCCTCCCACTCAATGACCCCTTCAACCCCTGATGCCGCACCTGACGATGTGAGCCGCCTGATGATGCCGCCGCTGACGATGCCGTCGCTGCGCCACCTCTACTGCATCGTCTTCCTGATCCTCTTCCCCCTCTATTTCCTTAGCCGGCCGATCATTGTGATGACGCTATAAGAGACCTTGAGCTACGGCTAAGTTCGTCGACCTTGTCGCGCGAGAGATGCCTCAATCAGATGTCATGTCTTATTACTTAGCTTTAGCTCCACTCGGAACGCAACAAGGTGGCCGCTACTTTTGCTGGACTTTATGCATGGCCATCCACTTCCGTCGCCCACTCTAACTACTGTATATCTATCGTTCAACCACCCCTACTCTCTCACGCGCTCAGCCACGCCCGGACCCGCCGCCCAATTTGTAAGCTTATATGTTTATAGCCTTAATTTCTCCAGCTTCTCTAACCGCGGCCTTCTTCTTCGACTTCAGTTGGCTTACCCGAGTATGTGGCCGACATCCCTAAACGCCGCCGGCTCCCTTAACTCGGCAGACTTCTCTAGTTGCGGCCGTAATGTTATAGAGGCAGTATAGCTCTGGAGATTCTTACCTACACGTACCTTAGAAGTAGGGCCAGCCGCTACTCGCGTAAGTCGGGCCGCGGTTCCTGGCTCGGCTCAGCGCGTGGCGCAGTCGTGGCATGCATGCGAATAGCTCTATTCCGTACGGATGCCGAGAGGAAATTTGCTTGCCAGGCTTCTTACACCGTCGACCGTACCAGTCAGGGCTCAAGGAAAAGCCCACTGCTCCGTGGCAAGACACTCCATTAGGCACCTAGAGTCTGCTCTAAATGTCTCTATTGGTGCATACCCCGATACTAACGCGAGTGCAAGTTACCTGCTTCGTATACATATATGCCGTCTATCTGACGAGGGCTTATAAGGGGATCGACAGAGCAAGTATTCAAAAATGTGGACATGAGAAGATGGCGGGGAACTCGAGGAGCACTTGCCAGTCGTTTGATATCTGCCACTTCAAGATCGGCGAGCAGCGCCGAGGCCCAGGATTATGACTCGTGATGAAAGAAAACCATGGTTAAAAGGGACTGCCATGCCCATGTGTAAGTCCCTTAAACTGGGGAGAAAGCGGGGATCTAGATGGAAGGCTTTTCGACGCAACTCATCTTCATGCAGCAAAAACCTCCGTACAGGATATTAAATGGGCCTACCGCAACCGAGATTCGTGCAAATGCCTGCTAATCATTCTATATACCTTGGCTGATTTTTTTCTAACCTTTGAGCATTTATTTCTCCGATGCATAAGAAATCAGGACGTGATCAAGGAGCAGATGGTAGCCTCGCAGAAAAATGGCACCCCCGTTCCTCTCTTTTTGAAATGGTAAGCCACTCTTTCTCAGAACAGTAGTCCTGGTGAGGCTAGCCTTTTGTATCATCTGAGGCACGCCACTCAAGTCGACTTTCGCCAAGAGAGATTACCACGGCTAATATCGGAATTTTCGCCGTATGCTAGGATGATCTAACGATGGTGTGTTGAAATAACTAAAGACTTCTCTAGTACTATATAAAAGTATTCCTTTAAAAGCTTCAAAGAGAATCGTAATGATTCTAGCTAAGTCCACTCGTCCTTATGACAACCCTTCCACTTACTATTATCATCCTCGACCCACGTCTTGGTACACTTGGCACACTCAGGCGTATGAGGCGTATGACATGTGCCCTTAATACACAGGGCATGCCAACAATGAAACTTTTGGCCGTACACCCATTGACAATGGCACCGTTTCTCTAGCGCTGTGACCGGGTTTGCGTCTGTGATTGGACTCGCTAAAGCCAGTACAGCGGTGGCAACCAAAGAAACAACTATTGCCCTCATTCTGACGAAAGTAATCTCAATAGCAAAGTCTTTTAGGAGTTTTTTCGCGGAACTGGGTTCGCAGTATAAGGGAATAATAGCAATTTTTAGTAGAAGGATCTACACGGTATAAAGGGAGAGAGAAATAGGCAGAAAGAAGTGACTAGAGATAAAAGCTCTTGATTTCTCTTATCTAGGTGCTAACTGTCCTTTCTTTATATAGCTAATACTACCTAGAAAAGAGAAAGTGGGTTCCTTTGAAATGAGGAACGCAAGGGAGAAAGAAGGTAGCTAATAAATTAGTAAGGAATTTAAATAGGGGAGTAGCTAATACCCTGTCTAAGAAAGTAAGTCAATTTCTTGCCTGGTTAAGGATTAAGAGCTTTTTCTAGAGAGGGTGTCTTAGTAAGAGACTAGGAATTAGAGGGGTAAAAGAGAGACAAGAAGGGAGACAAAGAGAAGAGGCTAGCTATAGAGAAGGTAGCTAAAAGAGACTAATACCGGCTAAATCTAACATCCCCCCCTAGCTAAAGAGGGATAAGGAGAGCTCTTAGGTATATATATCGCGAAGCGTGGCCTAATTCGCATTCTCGGAGATATCCCTTGGCAAGAGGGACCTAGGAAGCTGAAAACACCCGGTGTGGAAGAAGGAAGAAGGAGCTAAAAGGAGGTGTAGAGAAGAGGGTGGGGGCATAAGGGGAAGCAGAAGTGGCGATAGCTTCCTATAGAGGTAGCGGGAGATAAGACGGATATACCGGCAACGGCTAGAAAAGAGGGGAAAAACCGGTAAAAAGCTCGGTAGTTAAGAGAATATTAGTAGCTTCTTTAAGTAGGATCCTCTTTATTAATAGAGATACTAGATAGGTATAAAGAGGGGCGTTAGATAAAAAAAGAAGAAAAATTCAGGCAATATAATAATTACTCCCCTACTATAATTACTGCCCCTATAAGAATAAAATATCTTGCCTTGCCTATCCGACCCCTTACTTTTAATTTTACCTTTATATATTTTTATATACTTCTTATATCTCTCTTTACGATGGTTATAAGCCTAGGAGGAATAGAAATCCTATACCTTCTAGCTACTATAAAAGGCACCTTTCTTATATCCCTCGTAGCTCCCTTTTACCCCTCTTACTAGAAAAGCCGAATTTTAACCGACTTTTCTACCCCCTCTTATATAATAATATCGAAAAACGACTCTACTATCCCTACGGTCTATAGGACGATTTTTATAGAGCCCTAGGATTAAGATAAGTAGGTAAAGGAGCTATAGGCTTATATAGATAGAACTATCTATAATTTAGTCTTCTCTAATAAGTAGGACCCTCTTAAGCCCCCTCTTTATCCTAGGGTAACGGAATTTATAGAGGGAGTTTCCCTCTTCTCCTAGCTAACCTCTATATAGTAGAGAGCTTTTTCTACTACCTTAGGTAACTACGAGAGTTACTATAAGGAATACCTTTACGAGACGAAGTTGCTAACTACTATACGCACGGCTATAATAGAATCCGTTAGTGCCGTAAAGCTAATCTCTCTTTAAGAAAAAGAGACTCTTAGATAGTAGCTTTTAAAGCTTAAGACCTCGATAGCTCCCTTAAGGGGCTATATAATTAATTATATTAAGAAGACCTATATAGTATATCTAAGAGCCTTTTTTACTAGGAACCTTCTAGCCTCTTTATAGCTAGCTAAGTAGGAAGAAATCCTTAAGGATGCTAACTAATACTTCCTTATAAAAGCTCTTTCTAGCTAGTAGCTATAGGATATATCTCTACTAATAAAGCCTTTTAATAATAGTTACTTAACTATCTTTTAAGAAGCTAACTAGGAACTAAATAAAGAAGCTACTAAAATATAATAGTAAGTAGTCTTATTCCTTCGTAGCTAGTACTCGACTTA